CTCTCTCTCTCTCTCTCTCTCTCTCTCTCTCTCTCTCTCTCTCTCTCTCTCTCTTTTGTTTTAATAAGATGAGGGGAGAGTCATGGAAAGGTGCAAATATCAATACATTTCTTTTTTTTTTACTTTTAAAATAACCATCATTGGTTTTTATTAAAAATTGTCTGTATGCATTTTGAGGGGCCAGCTGTAAATTAAACTGTCTTTGTCTGGTTGCTATAGTGATAGCTAACTGACACAGCCTTCTCTGCTTTCTGGCCTCTCTTCCCACAGCCCGGTTTCTCTGGTCTCACTGCATATGACATGATACGGCAGTGTAAATCACCCTTCCCATTTGGACAGGATCTGCATCCCAAGTTCTTTGATCCTATGACCACATGGTGGTCTAGCATCCCTCTGTGTGCGTCTGTCTTCACAGCTATATCCAGACCAGAGAATCTAAGACAAAAACCAAGAAGGTGAAACTGGTTTGTGTTCCAGTGGGTTGGCTATGCAATTTAGAAGTCCTAGTAAACATATTCTCATCCGAAGAAGGCACCTCAAAGCCCATTAGGTCCCCCAGGTGCTCAGTTGGTGTCTGAGCTGACTACAGATGCAGGTAGAGGAGAACGGTCCTGACTGGTCTTCATTAGATAAAATAGCACTGAGAAGCAATGAGCTCTATTCCAATTGTGCCCACCCAGAAATCACCAGAGTTTGAGAGACTGTGGTTCACCACATGGCAGCATAAGAGGCGTACCTGAGCAGGGTGCTGCTTTCTCTCTGGCATCAAGATTCAGTGAGCTGGGTTTCACATGTCTGGTTTTATTTTTTTTTCCTTTTGTTTTCATTACAGATAGGATTTCAAGCCAGCTAAGCCGATTAGGCAGTACTAGCCCATGTGTACGTGTGCTCAGGGAAGCCTCAGGACTGAGCTCTCCCTAAATTGCTGTTCCGAAAGGCTGTGACCTGCAAAGGAAGGCAATGCTATGCCAGGCAAGTAACCCACAACAACTCCAATGCCATGGCTTGGGTCTTCTCCAGCTTCTAAGTTCTTGCCCTTACAATAACTGGATTTGTGGTTTAGGTCCAATGCCTGAAGCCTGGGAACAGGGTCCTGTGCTGTCAGAGTTCTTTCTTTCCTGTGCTGGTTCTCCAACCTGATTCCTGCTCCTTAACTGATTCTCATCTGTGATCCTTATCTTAAAGGACATCCCTTATGATTCTCCCCAAATCTCTGGGCTGCATCCAAAGTCCTGCTGCCAATGACTGTGGGCATATTCCTTGATCACTCAAGTTTTCTGAAGCCACACTGACATGCTACCCTTTGTCCCACCCATGTTCTCACCTTTACCTTGGGCCACACTTTCTATTGCCTACTTCTGCATATTTTTGTGTTCGATGGCTGGCAGAATCCCAAGCCTGAAGATCAGTTTAGCTTCTCGGGACTTCAATTTGGTCTGTGGTTGGCACCTTCCAAGATTCTTCGTGCTCAAAGCAGGTGGTAAGAGGGTATGCTAAGCAAGGGAAATGGACGAGAAGGAGTCTAGGATATGACAATTAGATTTCTCCGCTCCCCAGTGGAAGTAGCTTCAAGCTGATAGTGTAATTTATCCTTTCCCATTCTGGTCCTGCCTAACAGGTTCCCTAATCTCTGTAATACTATCTTTGAAGGTAGTATTGGGAGGAGAGAGACTATATCTTTGTTGATCATATTGGTTAGCAAATGGGAAAATGATTATGTATCAAAATCTATCACATGCCAAAGTAGTTCTTTATGATTTTGCATCCATCTTCAGGAATTCAAATAATCCCAGAGCTAAATTAGCACCATGGACAGCAAGAACCCAGTCACTGAATAAGGGTACTCTTTAAATGACCTGAATTTTGTTTTTTGGAATAAGGGTACTCTTTAAATGATCTGAATTTTGTCTTTGGAATATGTGTAACCATATGTTTGTGTGTGTGTGTGTGTGTGTGTGTGTGTGTGTGTGTGTCCTTTCAATGTTTTATTATATTTGTTTATGGGGGGCACACTTGCCATAGTGCTTATATGGAGGACACAGTTTAAATTCTTTCTTTCCACCACAGAAGTCCAGGAGTCAAACTCAGGCTCTCTGGTTTGCTAGTGAATTTAGCCTCTGAGCCATCTTGCCACTCCTGTCTTTGCCATATATTGAGAGTTAATAAGTTATCCTTGAGCTCTATGTCCTAGTTCTGGGATTATTTGAATTCCTGAAGATGGTTACAAAAATCATAAAAAACTACTTTGGCATGTGATAGTTTTTGATACATAATCATTTTCCCATTTGCTAACCAATGTGATAAAGATATAGCCTCTCTCCTCCCAACACTACCTCCAAATACACTACCTCAGAAATGAAATTTAACAGTACTCTTCTGCTTAGGCAAAGAGAACAGATGAGCTAGTTACTCATTCACAGAAAGAAAAGATAGAAATTTTCCAGCGACTCTTTCTTTGAGGTGTCTATTTTAAGAGATCTGATGATGCGTAGGTCACAAGGTTAGTGCCTCAGCCTTTCAGAGAACAAGCGTCTCAACAGAGCGCCCCTTGTTCAATGCCATATCACGCAGAGGTTCCAAAATAAGCTGCACTCGTTTCCAGACGAAACGATTCTACACCTGAATGTCACATCCACCTCCAGGAAAGCAATATGCTGTGCTCAAACTCAGCCGAGAAACGGAGTGAAAAGACTCCTTGCTATTTGTTAAGCAATTAGCTGAAGAAGTACACCAGTGAACTCAAAACCAAGCGTTGCTTCAGACGCTCTCTCGTTTCCAAAATACCATTTAAAAATAATTACACCCACGATTTATGCACGATTCATTAGACAGCAAGATAAAATGCACTACTAAATTTTAATTGCACTGCAAGAGGAGACATAATGAAAAATATCCCCTAACTTCCTGGGATTATAACCCAGCACAGTAACATCTTCATCACAATATAAATCTTGTCCAAACAGTTTCAACATTGCTAAATTATAAAAAAAAAAAATCTTAGTTTCATAATTTGGTTAAACCTCCAAAGACATTGTTTACTTAAGCATTCAGAAGGTAAGGTAATCTGCGATCAATATTTAAGTTACTGATAAAAGTCAATAGGTTTGAATCACAGCTTCCCTAGTAACAAAGGCAGCAATGCCATAAATACACACTTGTCTCCAAACTAAAGCGGCTGTGAAGACTATGGTTTATTTGTGCTTCTCCACCAAACAAACCAAGAACCTATGATGTAATTGCATCCTGGTGTATTCAAAGCACAGATGTAAAGGATGGTAATTGTTTTCCATAGACACTGGCAGGAACCTACCTCCTATGTAGTGTGCACATCCATACTTATGTGAAATGTGGTCTGAACCTGGGAAGAGCACCACAGATGTGTATCTCACATGATACGAAATCAATGGGACAGACATCCTGGAGGATGTAAACATTAGATGAAAGACACCGTACAAGCCCATGAAATCATACTCCAGTGGTCCTTTGTACCCAGGCTCCCCAACCCTCTCTGTGGGTTTTGAATGGTACCGGCCATTTGACCCAAAAAGTGTGCAGCTTCTGAAAAGAGGGTGATTCCTATGACTGACAAGAGTGTATGGCTCTTGGTGCCATCCTGGGTCATTTTTATCCACACATACCTGTGGTTTTCAATGGAGGTTTCTCTCCTAGCAGCAGTTTTATCCTTTTGGCATGGATTTTGCCTTGGTAATGTGAGTCGGCCACCACGGCTGAGGTAAAGGACATGTTACAGAGTGTACAGCACTTATTCTTATCCACCATGTCAGCGTCGCTCCCCTGCATGGAGAAAAGGAGAAAGACGGTGTCACAGAGGAACACAAGTCCCATGTCATGAGACATTCCCATGAGATTTGTCTATTGCCGAACAGCTTATAGACATGTTAGCTACTTCGATATAATTACCATCAACACAGTAATGTACATTTATGCGGTGGTTACATGAGCAAGACCCTGGGTTTATAGGAAACTTTGCAGATATGAGTTCGCTGAAAACAAAAAATGGAGCCCACAATTAGGAAAAGGCACATTGTCTGGCTCTGTGAGAAGAGTAGTTGGTAATTGCCCACATTATACTCATTAAAGTAAGGGAAATATCAAAGTTCACATGGCCTGAATTATTTAGCAGAAATTATCATTTGGCATTCAGTTCTGCCTTTGCCAATTTTAGCCTCACCAGGATACATAGCTGCAGTGCTCAAGTTGTTGTTAGAGAAAAAGTTTCTCCAAAGACTTGAACATTTTTCATACTGAATTTGCATATCTATCATAGAGATATAGTGACCACACTGCCTGAATTTTCTGGCAAGATTTTTGTGTAATTTTTTTCTCCCTTTTCTTTAGAAAAGGTGATTGGCTAAATGCTGCACCAGAATGCTTAGTCCGGCTTAATTTTTATGCCTTTGTACGATTTAATGAAAATGAATCGTGAATGAGAGAAAAGCAACTCCTTTGTCAGAGCATATGACACGGCCATTATGTCTGCAGGTCATCAATTACTTCTACACTCCCAGAAGATTATTCCTCTGCCTCTCCTCCTGCCTCGTTGGAAATTGAGGGTACAGTGGCCTTTAAGATAAGGACCAAATCTGTCCCTCAATGGAACCGAAAGACCGAGGCATCTCGTTGTGAAAGAACATTCTTAGCAGATCTCTACCCCCACAATAGTCCCTGCTTAGAGACCCAGAAAACCCAGAAATGAAATTTAAAATTGGATGGAGACAAGGAGGAGGATGGGGACAGAATTGAGGGGAACAGAAAATTATATAATTGTTGCATAATTATAAAACGTCCGTACTGCTAGAAAGTTGTCTTACATACATTATGTGGTAGTTGGAAAACTAACTCCTTCCTTAAGGTAGCATATATCAAATGTCTGATAATTAGATTGTGGTATGTGGGAAGACAGCTCTTCTATTTGTATATGTCTGTGTGTCTGTGTGTGGTGTGTGCATCCCTCTATGTTTTTGTGTGGTGTGTGTGTGTGTGTGTGTGTGTGTATCTTTCAGGAGGTTAACCTACACTTAAATGGTAGGAACGACAGACTCAAATTCTGAAATGCCAGAAGTGGGGGATGGTAGTCAGTGTTAGTAAGTCAACCCAAAAGGGCCACGTTCCCAAAGGTCTCTGCTCTGGGGAGCGTTCTGCCCTTGATGAAGATAAGCTAAGCTACTTTTGAGTTTTGCTTACAGATGAAAATAAAGGCACAAGAATGTTTACCAGCCACCATGTACTACTATACTAGGAAATAAAACAGACCAGGCAGTAAAGCAGGAGGGTTGGCTCTCACTGATCTCTCAATGAACCAAGCCTAACGGGAGTACAGGGCATTCCTCTCCAAGGAAAAGTCCAGACATACCAAGCCAACATCAAATCTCAGAGCAACTGAAGAAAGGACAATGCGTTCATGGAAGTATGAGGGGCTGGGGGCCTTTGGGGAAATAGAAAATCAATTGGCAACCTTCCCACAGTGTGTTAGGCGTAATCAGTCCTATGTGCTTCTTTTCTAAATCTTTAAAACTTTTGAGATTATAATGTAATTACAACATTTCTCTCTACTCTTCCTTAAACCCAGAGACTCCCCTATACCCTCCTTGTTCTCTTTCAAATGTATGGCATCTCTCACCGTTGTTATTGCATTCATATATGTACATGGGAATGCATATACATCCCTAAATATAACCTAGTCAGTTGGTACATTACTAATATGTGTGTTTTTAGGGATAACTATTGGTTTTTAGATAACTAATTGGTGTGTTCTTCCCTGGGGAAGGCCATTTCTCCCACTCTCAGCATTCCTCCATTGACTGTAGTTCTTTGCGTAGGGTTGAGGCTTCAGTGCTTGTGTAGACCAAATTTAGGAAGTCATGCCAGTGAGACTTTATGGGTGTTGCTTGTGACATTACTAGGAAACACATCTCACAGAAAACTCTCTGATCCTCTGGCTCTTGTACCCTTCCCATCTTGTCCTCTCAGTGTTCCATAAGCCCTAGGTGTTCTATACATTCATCCTCAGAACTTGGCCCCACAACTGCATTTTGTTTGCCTAGGGCTTTCCGTAATGGTCTCTCACACTGTTGCAAATGGAACTTTCCTTGATGTGGAGTTGAAGGTACAGATCTGTGGGTATAAGAAGAAGCACTTAGATTATTGTTAGGAATTATACTGCTTTAGTAAAGTAGTGCTTGTAGGTGGTTGTCCTTCAATATCCATGATGTCACCAGCACTGATAGTTATGTAGGGTTCTGGCACCAGGGATGAAGTTCCTTCTATCGAGTAGGCCATAGGCCCAATTAGAGAGCTGTTAGTTGCTGCCAAGATGTGTGTACCACTAGTGCACCTGAGTGTCATCATTCCATGCTGGGCATTGATGTGGTTCATCAGCATCACTCAGCTGGTTAGGATCGTTTGTTACCTCCTCTTATAGAAGCTTGAATGGTATCTTGGGTACCATGAAAGCTAGACCTCAGGAAGGAGGCATTCAACCTTGTTCTAGCTCAGGTTGTCTGGGCCCTGTTTCTGAGATACATAGTACCATCAGCGCTTGAAATTTATCTTCCACTTCTAAGGGACAACCAAAGCACCTGCAATAGGCTGTATGCTTTGGGACTCTCTTGGACAGGCCTAGCCAGCAACACAAAAGAACGCTACTCATGCCTGGTACTGGGATTTATCTTAGGTGGCCTCTGGCTCTTGGATAGAGCAATGTCAGTTGAGACAAAAATTAAATAAACATATGCATATTATTAAACATTATTAAATTTATTACTTTTTGAAAGTAAATAGTTAATAATATGATTTCTTGTGCTTAAACAGACACCCTTATTTTTATTCTTCTTTAAAAAGTTAATTATTCTATTTATTTACATTCTAGATGTTGTCCCCTCTCCTGCTGCTCCCTCCCACAGTTCTTCACTCCTTTCCCCTCCCCTTTGCCTCCAAGAGGGTGATTTCTACCCAATGGGTATCCTCCTTCCCTGGGCCTCAAGTCTCTACAGGTTTAGGACTTTTCCTTTCTTCTGTATTTACCTCCCTCTCCAGTAAGGTGCTCCTCTTTTTCCATCACCCCAATCAAATCACTTGTACACTGCCAGTCCCTTTCACCCTGCTCCCCCTTTTCTCCACTTACATTCATCTCCCTCCTTAAAGAACCCCAACCATTCCCAGTCCTCTGATCATTAGGAACCTACTTGCGTTTTGCTCCCCAATCCCTCTATCCTGGCAATGATTCCATATTACTTTCCTGGTTTCTGTAGTTACTCCAGGCTCTGTCTCCACATCTAAAGATTCAAAGGTGGGAACAACAGATGAAATAGAACAGTTGGCATTTGTGTTTCTGGTTCTGGGTTACCTGACTCAATACGATCGCTGAGTATTATTCCACAATGTGTTTGTCCATTTTTGTTATCCATTCGTCAGTTGAAGTATATTTAGATGGTTTCCATTTTATAAGTATTGCGACTTCAAGCAAAGCTCATGGACGAGCTTCCTCACTTCTACAGCAGCATTTTGTGTGGATTGTTTTGTTGAGGTTTCTCTTTTTGACTTGAGTAAGATCAAAACTCAAGAATGTGTCAATTTACATTTTCGTAACTGCCAAAGATGGTGAACATTTTTTTTTGAGATGTTTCTTAGGTAATATTCTTTCCTTTTTCTGAGAACTCATGTTCCAGGCTAAGTGTTTGGATGGATCATTTGATTTTTTTTTTGAGTCTTTGTTTTTTGAGTTCTTTATATCTTCTGGAATGAGTCCTTTGTTAGATGTATAACCAGCAAAGATTCTTTCCAATTCGCTGGGCTTCCATCTCCCAGTTGATTGTTTCTTTCCTGTGTAGAAGATTCTTTATTCCCATAAGTCAACTGTTGGTCATAAATCTTAAGCAAATGGGGTTGTATTCAGGAGGTCCTTCCATACACCTTCATCATATAGGGAACCATCTGTGCTTCCTTCTAGCAGTTTTATTTTTTCAGATTTCATGTTTAGGTCTTAGATTGTGCAAGGTGATAGATACAAGTCTAGTTTCATCGTTGAGTATGTGGGCATCCAGTTTCCCCAGCACTATTTCTTGAAGATGCTTTCTTTTCTTCAATATATGTTTTCTGGCATCTTGGTCAAATATTAAGTGGCTGGAGTTAGATTTGCTCATGTTTAGGTCTTTGATTTTGTTCTGTTGCTATACATTTCTGTTTGTGTCAGTATAGTACTATTTTTATTAATGTGTGTCTGTGGTATATCGTATGATCTGGGACTGTAATCTCTCTAGAGTTCTTTTTACTCGAAATTATTTGGGCTATCTGGTGTCTTTTCTAGTTTCATATAATTTTTAGTGCACTATTTTATTTCTCTGAATAATGAGATGGGGATCTTCATTAGGATTGCATTGAATCTTCAAATAGCTTTTGATAAAATGGTCATTTTCGCAATTCTAATTCTACCAGTTCTACTAAATTTTAATAATTCGCAATATAAGCATGGGGTGTCTTTCCATTTTCTAGGGTCTCTTTTGTTGCTTTCTTCAGGAGTTTAAATTTTTCATTGTAGAGGTCCTTTACTTCCTTGATTAGGGTTATTCATAGATCTTTCCTTTTCTTTACATTGTGAATGGGAGTTCGTCTGTGATCCCCTTGTCTGCATGTTTGCTGTTGGTGTATCAGACATATTGATTTGTGCAAGTTGACTCTGGATACTACCTCATTGCTAATACTGCTTATCTTTTTTTTTCTGCTTATCATTTCTAGAAGTCTAGTTTCATCGTTGAGTATGTGGGCATCCAGTTTCC